TTTTATATTATTGCATGAAATATTTTACACGTTCGATTGTTATCTGTTTGATACATGTAATTTGGTGGGACAGGCCCTTAGGGTCGTTTAATGATTAGGGTGGATCTGATATATTCAAAAGGAAGCATCCTTAATCGTCTATTAATCGACTCTATGTAGGAATGCTATGTATTTAAGGTTATTAAAAAAGTAGCAAATTCCTCGTAAAAGTACTCGATGCAAAAATACGCTTTTATATATAAAAGGAGAAAAGTTTCAAAGGCGATCTTAAATCAGTATCGGGTATTTTCTACCGCTATTCATCAAGCTTTAGAACGAAACTTACGGAAGGCTTTGCTTTTAATATGATATTTAAATTAATGACTAGTGATTTATACATTTTTCGTAATATCGTAAATTATTTTCACTTAATTCACAAACATACTTAAGTTATAATTTAATCACAATTTCAATGTAAATTTCATCATCATTTTTCCCCCTTTTCATTTCTTCGTCACAGTCATTACTCCCTTCTTGATCATGTCACCTTTGAAGCAATCCATACATCTCTTTTTAGATTTTTTTTATATTATAAGGTGGCAACCGAGCAAGAGGTCACCTTAATTTGCCGAAATAGTGAAGTGACCGCTACCTATAGGCATCCGTAATTACAGATGCGTTGCCTACCCTCAATCGACGGAGGAGTAGACGCACATGAAGAGGTTATTTCCACGTCCTATGCGTCTCTTTCACCGTCAAATCCACTTTTCCTTCCCATCCTTCACTCTATATACGGGATGGTGAGGAAAAACGACTAAAATTGGGCCTCCTGCACCGCACTCATCAGACGAAATCTAGAATTGCTTCCGCTTCACGCCTGTCTTCTGTGTGATCGTGGAATTACACTGGACGAGCCGGCCCATTCGTGCGAAGATGTTAAAGCGGGCTCTGCCACTGTTGATCTTCCTCTAACAGTGTACATTCCATGAAAATGTCACCTCTCGTTGTTTTAACTCAATACAAAAGTTATTTTTATATATGAATTAAACCACTTAATTAATTATTAAGGGTTATTTATTTGGAGCACACTTAGAACAGATTTAAAAGAAAACGTTCAGAAATGAGTTTTAATATCTGACAGTTATTTTATATGCACAGTAAAAACGTTGAACTACATATTTATATTTTAAACTCCTTAGCTTCGGTTACAACTTATAACTAAGTTGTGTACTCGTAAAGTTTTCCTATTCTAAGTTAAGAAGTGAAGGCAAAGTTGAATCGGTTACTTCAATAAACAATAAGTTACTATTGTAAGCTCATATGTTTACTGTTTCAAACGTCTTATTAAACTTTATTAATAAAGCTATTTCTCGGAGCTTTCCGATTGTTTTAAATTATAATCCGATCTTATTCCCTAGTGTTTCCAATAAGCAATACTTCTCAGAAACTCGAACTAAATAACATTTTAGATATATTGGTACTAAATTTCTTATTATTTTCTTTGAATATGACGATATTGTATTAAATACTAGCTGTTGCCTGCGATTTCACTTTTAAGATAAAAAAGTATCCTATAATATGGCCGTCTATGTCAGCTACCCTTCAGTGAAAGTTCGGTCGAAATCCGTTTGGCAGATTACCCGGAACTAACGCGGCTTGCGGACAGATAGACAGATATACAAAATTTTCTTTAATACGATTTTCGTTATTAACGCAAATACATCATCTTTCCGAAATCTGGAATTTTCCTTTTGATATTACAAAGAGACACTCCAATTTTATAACATTTATAGATTAGCAAATAATTTGAATCATTTAAACTTTCGTGAGACATTAATACGAAATAATAATTAAGCAAAGTCTAGTTTTGAACTCGGGATTGGTCCGAAATTAGTCGATCTCGCCAACGGAATGAGAAAGTGTTTGCTATATAAAGAGTTTATTAATAACGAATACATTGAATAGAAAAGCAATAAACATTTCACATCTTTTTTACTAATATTATAAATGTGATTTTAAAGAGATACATAACATCGTATGTGCAAAAGAATACTTTAAAACAAGTATTTAAATCATAAAGAATTTTTAAAACAACTTCCTAGTAAAGGCTAAAAACGTAGCTTTTTTAAAAGAAAAAAGTGTATTTATAATAATATTTTGATATTTTTATTATCTGTATAAAAGAAAATGAGAAAACAATTTTATAAAAACAATTAAACATCATAATATTTTAAAGAATTTGAATTATTTATATTGAATATACTGTTTTGTTTAGAACACTTCCTTGCATTGTTGCTGCCTTAGTACTTCACGTTTGACTGTATCAAATTTTATCTGTATGTCTCCCTTGTTACACACACGTCAAACCACGCAATATAGAGAACCTAGTTTTTCACAAGCAATACTAACATGCGTCAATGCTTATAGATATGTGTAGCTGTCCCGTTCTAATACCACATATATCAATAGGTTAGAGTGAACTAGGCATAGGGATCGCAGAAACGTGAATTACACATACAAGTTTCTGGATACGTGCCACACAGAGCAACGCCGGCCTAGACTCGCTGCTCAGTTCTTATGTCCTAGTACTTTCTAAGAACGTCTAATGCTGCGAAGAATTCTAACACACATGTGTGGTTGGTTCTTAAAGTATCTAAGTTGGTAGGTCGGATTAGAAATCAGTCACAGGTCCCATAATGTACTTCCTTTAAGTATTAAGTCAGTTAAGTTAATCAACTTAAGTTTTATGCACTAAATAGTATACAAAGATTGAATTGAATTATTTCAACAATTTACTTTAATTAAAACAAAACGTTAAACTTACATTTTAAAAACTCATTTAAAGTAAAAGACCAATAATTAGTTACAATTAATATAATTAAGAAAAAAATGTATTGAAATATATTTTAATGGGCTAATGTGGAGTCAACATAAGAAACTTAGCGATAGGCCTAAGTATATAAAATTGTAATATAGAATCATATATAATCATCATATTAAACGTAAGGTTAAATTTAAAAAAAAAATAAAAAAAAGGTTAAATATCTGATATATCAATATCGATATCGAAAGCAACGGTACCTATAATAACTTGAAATGTTATCAACTACACAAATAAATCATACTAAATACTAATATTATAAATGCGAAAGTTTAGATGGATGGATGTTTGTTAGAGTTTGTAGCCTAAATGGCTGAACGGATTTCAATGAAATTTGGCATAGATGTAGAATATAGTCTGGAAGAACACAAAGGCTACTCACTTTTGTTTTTTCCAATACCACGCGGACGGAGTCGCGGGCGGAAGCTAGTTAATTCATAATTTCGGATAAATTCCTTTGCATCTTTCATACAAAAAACGACCTTACACCCATCGTACAAAGTACAATTTAGAGTGTAGTAAAATTTCTATTTTATCCGCAACGACTGTCTTGTAACAAATCACAAGTTTTAATGCACGCGATACAAATAAACAAACAGAATGGATAAAGTATATAATTGGGGAGATATTTTCTTATATTCAGCCTATTGCTGTTTATATCTGAACAGAATACTTTGTACTAAGCAATTATCCAAGTTTGTGCTCTTTCATAAACATGATATTACATAGATAAATAATTCGTGTACTAATAGTAAGCATTTCTTTTCTATTTAATGTAATTTATATAGTTACTAGTTTTCTACCGCGACTCCGTCCGCGTGGTAAAAAAAAAGTAAGTAGCCTATGTGTTCTTCCAGACTATCCTCTACACCTTTACCAAAATTTCATTGAGACCTGTCCAGCCGTTTATGCTACAAACTCTAACAATTATCCATCCATCTATCGGAATTTTCGCATTTATAATATTAGTATGATTTATACCATACTTCTTTCTATACGAATGTTATAAAAAGGAAAGATTTTCATTTTTGGATTTTTGAAATAACTTAAAAACTACTGGACTGATTTCAAAATATCTTTCACTATTAAAAAGCTACGTTATGAATGAGTATAGGCCGTGTTTTATATTATTTTTTAATTTCATGCTGGTGAAGTCGCAAACAACAGCCAGTATCAATTAAATTGATTTGAAAAAAAATCAAGAAGTACTTTTTTACGTTGTTGGAAATACGCCGGGGAAAAAATAGCTGCTTTGGTACTAGGGAAAAATAACCTTTACACGATTGACTTAAAAATAACCAAGATTCGTAGCTGTTGAAGTCAAGAAATACGTGAAATGAAAGGAAATTGCTATTTCCTGCTGTTGTATAAGCATCTGATGACGCAAAGCATCTGACAGCACTTGAATATGCAAGCGAAGGAACCGTGATTTGCCTATTCTTGTCACTTTATTCATGTAAAATATAAAATCAAGTACGAAATCGAATTGCATTATTTATAAAACATTTTTTCTATATTACATGGTGACTAAAGTTTTCAATTTTGAAAACAGATAACTAACTATCATTCTCCCGCGATTCCATCGATGTGGGATTAAAAATCAGAAATAAGTAGCCTATGTTTTCTTCCAGACTATCCTCTACATCTATGGCAAATTTCATCCAGATCCTTTCAGCCGTTTAGTCTACAAACCCTAACATCTAAACTCTCGCATTTATAACATTGTAAAAAAAACAAGCAAGATAAAAAATCAGAACATGAGTTCTTTTTTTCAATTTTGACGTCTGTTTACCACGATCATCGGACCACTAAGGTCAACTAGTTGTCAAACAACAAACAACTTTTAAGCCACTTCTGATCGAGAAATCTGGTTTTCGTTTGCTTCCGATTACGTCACCATTATCGTTGATTACATTAACGAATTAGAAAAATATTATTTTTGAGTTAATCGAGAGTTCATGAACTTCAGAAAGAGAAATCTATGGTGAAAGATTGTGGCACGAGGAAAGACTAAGAAAACCTATTCAAAATCTCTATAACCGACAACTTTCACTGTCAAAACACTTTTATCATCTTCATATTCTCCCTAAGATCCTAAAGCAGTAGAAACTTACGATAACATAAATGATACTTTACTTACCATAGCTGACGTATCCTAAGAACAGTAGCCCAATAACTGTCAACATTCTGCCTGGCTTATTGCACCGTGTCACACCGTGTTACTCTCAGTGTTGAGACTTCCTCTCTACGTCGCTTCATTTGTAAAGGTGGCGATACACTATCGGCTATAGCGATTTAACATACGTAACACTCTATTCACAACACTATCACTTTTGAGCAGGAAACTTGCTGGTGTCTGAAACAAATTAGATGACGTCAGTGTTTAAGTTTATGATCATTTTAATTTAATAGATTTCAATTATTAGAGCTGCGATGGTGTCATATATAAATATGATATTGATATTTATTTTTTTATAAAGGGGATATCTGTTTTAGCATATTGTTGGATTGGATATATGCCTTCAGTATCCAACGCTATGCTGTGTTTGTTTTGAAAGGTATTGTTTGATAAAATTGTGGGCAAAAACAGTTTTAGCTTAACAAAGCCATCTTATAAACTATAGTTTGTTATACATCGCAAAATATACACTAAAACTATAAAAGAAAATGACGATAAGCAACAAAAAACATGAAAATTGTATTGTATTTCTTATTGTTTGTAGACTCAAGAATGTCATGTAAGAGGTTAATAAAACGTTTGATCAATTTGTTTGTGTTTTTTCTTTACCGTCGAGTTTACTTGTTTATAAGGTATACATTACAGATAATATATTTCGTGGGAAAATGTGGAACGTGGACATTTTAATGAAAGAATTGTTCGTGTCGAGTTAAAACCTAGTTTTCTACATTCATTAAATTCCACAATGTAGGTTGTATTCGATAGCCGACTTAACTTGTAGCGGTTTTTTAATATCGATAAGCCTTTATAGTATTAACTTTGGACCGCGACTCCGTCTGCGCGGAATTAAAAAAAAAGTAACTTATGTATTCCAGACTGTGCTCTACATTTGTGACAAATTTCATCGAGATCTGATGTCGCGATTTGGAGATACTTAGTAATACATCTATACTTGCATCTATCCAAACTTTCGCATTTATAATATTAGTATGAAGTATGATAGACGTCGAATTTGTTTTAAGTCCTAACTTTAGTTGTGAGTGATTGTTTTTTGTATCAAAACATTCTTTCAACAACGCGTAGATCAGTAAAATGAATCACTAGATTCATTTAAACAGAAGCCATTAAATTCCTTTACATATTTCACTTAATCTGCAGACCTTTTACGTTTATTTATACTACTTTCATTTACAATACAAACGCGATCTTGGCGTAAGTTCAAAATTTCTAGACCACAGAACTACGAATGTTTTAGATCGTAATAAATCTGGCACGGCTTTCGATTATGTAGAACAATAAACGGACACACAAAAAAAAGTTTACGGGCGTGTCTAATTATTAATAAAAATGTTTTATGTGGTATAGTATCAGTAAGTGGCCATTATAGTCTTTTTTATTTGCTACATAATACTATATCTGAAACTTTGAGCTCGTTTTTTACCAGTAAAAAAAACGTTATGGACGCTTAACATGGCATATCTTATAAGACATTTGTAACACGAATACGCTCAGAGACAAATCTCGCATAGCAACCGGGTTGTTTCATTTTAGCACAAAATAAAAAAAAGCAAAAAACTTTAAATAAACAGGTTCGATGTTTTGAGGAAACCACCTTTTTCACCTATCACGATTATGCGATTTTATTTAACTTGACTTCATAATTTTCACTTTCCCGTTCCACCTATTTCTACAAATAAATGATGGTACAGAGATCTGAATTTGGTAGAAGAGAAGACACTTATGGTAAGAAAAGTCAATATATTATTTTCGAGCGTCCCCTTCTCCGTCGATTAAAGGTAGGCAGAGTCATCTACAATTTCAGACGCATATATATGGGCGCTTCGCTTTTTCAGCGAATTTAGTTAACACTATAATATAAACAAGTACGATATTCGACAAATTAAAATATGAATTTTTGAAATGAAATTTTTGGTTTAAATAAATCTGTTTACAAACATATTTTAAGTTTGAAATAATAGATGTAGAATCGTAGTTACAATATACATCTTTATGATTATTTCTTCCACTTTCTAAGTCCCAGTTTACAACGACCTCAGTATGGATGGTTACCAATAGAATATACTTCAAGCTACGACGGCCCGTGAAAGTTAGAGGTATACCGCAAACCGTCCACAATTTAACTCTAACGTTAACTTCTGCGTTACATTTCGCGACATAATTCACAATATTTCCGTTCTACATAAGATACGATAAACCTATATTCTCTGACTTTTTTTTACATAGATTTAACTCCAAAATTTGTTATTTACAGAAAAAGCAAAAAGTAGTAAAAACCCAAAAAAACATATGTATACAAGTTATTTTCAGCTTCCGGTTGCTTTGTCAGATTGTCCTTCGACATCGCGCCTTTCCCCTCTTAGGGCGCGGTGGTATGCGGTAACGCATTTCCCCACTTAAAAAAAAGGTTGTCCATCGACAGAGGCCTCCCCTAGATTCTTCCAAAATACCCCGTCTCTAGCTAATCTTCTACATCCCTTCGGTAAGTCATCATCCCATCTCTTTATTTGACGTCATCTCCGTCTTTTTTCATCTCTGGAGTACCATTTCATTACTTCTCTAGTCCATTTGTCCCTATCAGTCCACGTCCATTTAAGTTTTTTGATTTTTTTAGAAGCGTCATTCCGCTAAGTCTGTAAATAATTCATACGACAGTCGCCATCGATGTTTGTAATTTACGTTCGTTATTTTCACTGCATTTTGGGTACAGGTTTTTTACATTACGTAAAAGAATTCCTTTCATGTTCGGAATTTCGGACACTATGCATTAATTTGGTATGAGAAACAAGAATTTTTAGTGACGAAAAAGTGAATGTCGATAAAAGCATTTTGAAAAAAGTTCTCATACTCATTTCGTTTGTCAATTCTACATTTTAAAAAAATAACAGGGGCAGCGATTCGAAATTTAAAATGCCGTCACATATTTTAAATGTCGTTTTTATAGGCTTAGTTTATTAGTGAACTTAATTTCCAATTTACAAAGATCTGTTGAAGTTGAAGGTAACTTTATAGAACAGTTAACTTGATCGGTTTGATGTAAAAACAATTCATTATTCACTTGCAACTGTACCATGCAAAAAGTTTAATGGAAACTTTATTACGTGCACATTATCTAACGTAATAAATAACTTTAATACTAGCAAGATTATGTAATTAACTCAAGTATTTACTAAGATAATATTTATATTACTTACAGATGTGAAGTAAGCATTTATTGTATATATTTATATATTCACGTAAACAATAAGACTATTTTATTCCGTACAAATACAGGATATTTTTACTAGTTAACAAAACAAACTTTTCATGCGTGCCTTGAATCGCTGTTTCAAAATATAAATCTAATTTCCTCGTTATTCAACTATTAATAATTAAGCGGTATTTCTCGTTACCGCTTTTGTTATTTAGAATAAAAGCTATTGTTAGAAAATTTAGAAAAGCAATGAATTTATTTTGTAAACACCATCTAATTAACAACAGAAGTTCTCGAAACTTCTGGAAATTTAAGTAATTGTTTATTTATCAAATCTTACACGGATAAAGATCAAAACAATTAAACTATACCTTTAGAGATGTTTATGAAATCTATACTATTATAATAAAGCGTAAACACACACTTCTTTGTTGTCTAAGATCAGCAATAACAGTATATTTTTGAATAACTCTTTTTATAATAAAAAGCCCTACACTTACGTCACGCTTTAGGCTATACACGTTCACGCCAATAAACTTAGGAGGTAAATATTTTGAATAAAATCCCTAATGTGGGTAAGAGACCATAAGTTGCTGCCAACATCAAGGAAGCAAGGTTGTCATCATGTCATGTCATTTGTAATAGATAATTCGATAGATGTAAACAATAAAATAAAGTTTTCATAATTTCATGCGGATGAAGTCGCACGGGAACAGCCTTAATAATATATATTAAGGATTCAAATACCCCTTATAGCCTTCATAATCAATCAAGTAAATTAAGCTGCAAGCAATCACAAAAAAAAACACTTGCAAAAAACTATCTTCGTAAGATCTTTTAAGAACTCACATTGTAACCCTATGAACATCTTCATTCACAGGTCAATTAGCTATTATGATCCAGTGGTATCTAGTCCTGCTAATACTCAAACGTGAAAACAACCTCGGTTTGAATACAACTTAAAGCGTGGTCCACTTGACCACGTCTCGGTAGACCGAGTAATGTCTACGCTCTGCGCCTTTCTCCGCCGTGACGGACCATAGATAAAAAATTCTACGCAGTGAAATTACACGAGAAATAAAAATAAATCACTTTATAACAAAAAAAAGTTATATACTATGGGAAAATTTGCCGCATGTGTTTGTATGGGCATAAAAATCATATATTTGAAGATAACCAAAATTATTATTAACATGCTTTAGAATATTTATTTCAAGTTTTTGTGTTGTCCTACTTGTAGGGTTGACGTGGCTCACATACCCAAGACTTTCAGTTTTTAAAATGATCAACAAATATAATTTTCTATGCAGTATTTCCGTAGTAGTCAAGCAAATTAAATCTTAATAAGAGAAACAATGCTTCACAAGTTTACTCTAAGCATCATTGTCGAACATAAACATTAACAACGTAATAACTGTGTTCACTTGTGTTATAACACGATATTGAATGCTTTGTAATTATATCATTTGTTGTTACAGAGTTCTGGTGAACTCCTTTTATTTACATTGACGTCTGTGCGTGACGGCGGCAAAAAATGTAATGAGCGTTTCTTGCTTAATCTATGGTGCTAGTGATGTCTTTTTTGTTTCCTATTCGATATCATATCGATAGTTTATTACATCAGTCAATTATCTGTTAAATACTCATTATTAAAAAAGATTAATAAGTATTGTAAAAATGGTTTTACATTTCTAATAAACTTTGACAGAGTCTTAGACAGTTTTTATCTACTTACAAAGGATAAAGTTACCAAAAGGGTAAAAATTAAATGGGATTTCATTGGCCCAAAATAATCGAATTCTCGTTAGTTCTACCTGGCTGAGAATTTAACCACAACTAATTTAAACATATCTCTTTCAATTATTCATTGACCTTCAACTGTTTATTACCTGGTTCCAAACCCTACAAAATAGACTTTACAGAAACTGGAATGTTCTAAAACATATCTGTTCAAGGAAATTACATAATCAGCTTTCGCCCGCGACTCCGACCGCGTGCGATTAAAAAAAACAAAAGTAAGTAGTATGTGTTCTTCCAGAATATATTCTACATCTATGAAAAATTTCATCAAGATCTGTTTAGCAGTTTAGGCTACAAACTCTAACAAACAAACATCCATATAAACTTTCGCATTTATAATTTTAGTAAGAAGATTACTATAGCTAACTGTTTTTAAGTCTATCTTCACTTTGTATCAGTTTTCACAAAATAAGAACAGTCTAATATAAAAATGGCCGCCATGTATTGAAATTGACCTCTAATATTCGTTGGAGTATTGGAAGGCTCGTTTATCGTGAATAAGAATGTACACACAAGTTGGATCTCTCGATACGCTATCGGTATTTCTTCGTACGCTCTACTAACCGCCTCTTCATTACGGTGTAAAAGATATTTAATTACTTGTTTGTAAATTTTCAACATTCCATTTTCTAATCATTCTTCAAAAGATATAAAAAAAAAACAATGAAATAACTGGCGACATACGATTTCTTTTTCTTATTCTGATATTAATTTAGATATGTTTTAAATATGGTATAAGAATGATAGACTATTTCAAATCAAAATATAAATTATATTTAGTACTAGCTTTCGTCCGCGACTTCGTCCGCGTGGAATTAAAGAAACAGTAAGTAGCCTATATGCTCTTCCAGACTATCTTAACACTTAACAGTGGTAGAGCCCGCTTTAACATCTTCGCACGAATGGGCCGGCTCGCCCGGTGTAATACCACGACCACACAGAAAACAGGCGTGAAGTGGAAGCAATTCCGTGTTTCGTGTGATGAGTGTGGTGCCGGAGGCCTAATTTTAGTCCCCTTCCCCCTTTTCTTAAGAGGAAAGGATGGGAAGGAAAAGTGGATTTGACGGTGGAGGAGACGCATAAGAAGGGGAAATGTCCTCTTTATGTGCGTCTCCACCTCCGTGAATTAAAGTAGGCAACGCATCTGCAATTGCGGTTGTCTATAAGCAGGGGTCGCTTTCAATTTCGGTGAATTCAGGTGGCCGCTTGCTCGTTTGCCACCTTATGTTATAAAAAAAAATCATCTACATCCAAATGTCATTGAAATCGATTCAACAGTTTAGGCTACAAACTTACAAACATCCATCCATCTAAACTTTTGCATTTATAATATTACAACGCACAACTTATTTCTATATTGCTACTCTTTATAACCAGTAAATTCACACATTTATATTATAAAACACGAGCTGTTGCCCGCGACTTCGTCCGCGTGGTATTAGAAAACGTAAGAACTATATAAAAAAAGCTACGTATCCCTCGGGAACCGGACATTTCTCGGGGATGAACCTCATCCCATGTGTACTCCAGACTTTGTTTTATATCTGTGCCAAATTTCAAAAGGATATGTTGAACCGTTGAGGAATGATCGAGTAAAAATTAAAAAACTAAATTAACGAATCCCACAGGAACTGTAATTATTCCCGGGATAAAAAGTACCCTACGTGTTCTTCCAGACTATGCTCTAAACCTGTACCAAATTACATGGAGATCCGTTCAGCCGTTTAGGCTACAAACGCTAACAAACATCCATTCATCCATCCATCCATCTAAACTTTCGCATTTATAATATTAGTAAGAAGTAAGAAGTAAGATTGAAATTTAATATTTATTTCGCAACAAAGTTCTCATAAGAATGGCACAATTTTGTAAGCGGCGTAACGTTATGTAACGACTGCAGGGAAATTCCGTCTTTGCCTTTTACACCGGATTTTTGAGAACCGAGCAAGTAATCAAGGTAAAAACAACTTTTATTTTCATATAAGCTTTTGTGCAAATATCTTATAATAATTTTTATTAAACACACTGTTGCTTCACTTACAAGTAAATTACTTTTATTTTAGTAATGGTTTTCATTGAACTCGCTTTCACGAATAATTTGTAATTTTAGCCAACGTGGAAATAATTTCAACATTAACACTACAATTTCCGATACTTAATTTATATAAAACGACATTTTTTTTTATAAACTAGCTATTGCTCGCGACATCGTCCGCAAGGAATTTAAATAAATAGTAAAAAGATGACCTATTTACTTAGTAATAACTGAGCTTTTTAATGATGCAGGAATTGTAATGGACTTAGTTATAATAGTTTTTGTGTTATGTCAATACATATAATAATACAAAAATACTAATGTTTCCTCTTCAAATATTAGTATAGATTGCACTTAGGAATGTAGTGGTTAAATCATTACCACAAGTTCAAACATTAACCAGAAGTGTGTAATGCATGAGGGACCCGTATCTATGACATCGCATTCCTTAGCGTACACAACACGAAGGTCTGAAGAGATCGTATTTTAAACGTTAAGTACTATAAAATCAAAAGCAACTAACAAGGAGTAATAGAGACGTACGTGCTATTTGGCAATGTTCAACGACCTTTGGGTCAAATCCTGCAATCAGGATCGTTTGTAATGTAAAAAAAATAAGGGTCACTAAAATAAGTAACCAAATTAACACAAGGACAGAAAGAGACAGGAAATCTATACTTCTATACTAATAATATTGAAGTGTAAACATGTACTACGTAAATGTGTACTGCGTGACGTAGGATGTTAGCAATTACAGCATACTTTTAAATAATTCTTTCTTTAATAAAATCCCTAAGGCTAAATATTTTCACGTTTTTAAACTTAGAGGGTAAATAAATTGGATAAAACCCCTAATGTGGGAAAGGGACCATAGGCTACAAGCTGCCAACATTAAGGAAGCAAGTATTGAAAATTTGACAAACGTAAACAATAAAGTTTTTATAATTTCATGCGGATGATGCACGGTAAAAGTTAGTATAGACATAAATAGAATATAATTTAAAGTAAATTGTCTGTCAGTTAATGGGTGTATAACGAGGATCTCAGTTAAAATATCACCGGCTACAGAAACGCCGGCGCCGGTTATGACGCAACACGTTAGAGAAAGTATATGCAGAAAGCGGTATGTGAGACATTTTAATTCACAGTCCAACGTTCATTCATTAGGCAATAAAACAGTGTAGAAAGTTTATCGATAGTTATACATGACCGATCATGTATGAACTCTGCTGAATAGATCGATTTAATAGCAACAGTAATGGCTTTTCACTTATAACCATATCTAGCAATCCTTCAATTATATAGATAGAGGTTTTTTATTATTAATTTTTTAATACATCCAAAATAATAGAAATTAAAGTCAAGATTCGAACTTCGGACGTTATAAAATCAAGTATTATTTGAGTACTTACTTTCACTTAATCCATAAATTTCGCTTATTCAATTGAGTCATTACAGAACAATAACTTTTGAGCGTATCCAAAGAGTTAAGAATAGATTTCACAATTTTTTGTAACACTTCACAGTTTACGATTTCACTGGTATGATTTTTCACAGTTTGAACAAGTTGTGTAACAAACGAATCGTAAATTTAAAACAAAATGGCGTCAAAACAACCGACAATCAAGAGCTCGTTACAGCGACTGACGGCGCGCGCGCAGATCACTTAAGTTTCCCACCAATAAAGCTTAACTATTAATTGATTAACAACTTTATTGTATACCAATAAGGTTTAAATTGCATCACGCAATGTAAGTTTTGTCCACCGAATTAGCAGGTTGTTCTCGTATTGGGGAAAACACAGGTACTCGTAGATTGTCTGGTGACAATCGTGACGCTAAACTCAAATTGTTGCATACTAATTGGTTGAAATGCGAACGTGTATACAACATAAATTATTAACTGTTAAAATTTTTATTATTTAGAATTGTACTCAAGCGAACATGAGTCATTATTCTTATATTAATACTAAACATAGAATGTTCTGGAACTACGAGAACTCTAGATACAACTTTTTATCCGATTGCATTTTAGCGCAAAAGGGGAGAAAATAACGGGAAAACAGACTAATTCAATCGGCATTAGTAATGATATCAAATAATAATTTATAAACAGTAGACATAAATAAAAAAATAGGTATAAGAATGTTACGTTCTTTTCCCTATAAAATACGAACATTAAAATATCAAAAAGAAAGAATAAAACAATAGGTGGGCAAGAAGGACGATTTTGCGACACCATTTCTTGTAACTTTATCAAATCATGAACGAAGTAGCCACGACGAATGGCTGGAACGTAGAATATAAGATACATTTCCCAAGGGACGTTCAGTAACACGTTTATCGAAAAGGTTAGGAAAAAATCTACATTTTTTAAAGCCTAAACCTTTATCGAGAGACAATAGAACTTTCCAGACGAACATTTGGTAGGCAATAAATCGCTTCGTATGATTTAAAACGAAATCTTTTTGCTAACTTTTTTTTATAGTTAAATGCTTTGATACTTATGGAATAGTAATCAATAAAATATTTATGTATGAAAACAAAATGTCTGTCTGAATAGTTAAGAATATAAATGAGATATTAGAGAATTGATTAAGGAAAGGAAACGCGTGCCGATGTCGTGACGTGGATGTTACGTAAGTCGTTGACCTAAGAATATGAAGGTGTGACACAACAAGAGAAAGGAAGCTCTAAATGATATCTAGAAACCTAATGGAAATAGGGATATATTACTAGGAATCTAAATGATTTTGTTACGAGCAATAAAGCCAAGCGAACTAGACATGAATTTTGCAGGTTACATACCCATTTCTCTAATTCTATATCTTGGAATCACTAGCACTAGTAAAGATATTGGATTAGAAGGATTGATATAATCGCGCGCATTTCTGACGAGATCTCTAGTGGAGTGTTAAATTATTAATGTTATATACAATTATATTAACTGTTTAAAAGTAGGATGATTAGCATCGAAAGTTTACGAGTATATCAAACATCAACGATCATTAAATTTAGTTAAAATTGTTTAAATTTTTTTTTCTATTGTCTTTATCCAATCGATAGAAAAGTTAGTCTAAGTTAATAAGTACGTGAAAAGTTATCGTTATTATTGAAAAATACCGTTGCTTTAATGGATTTTATAAACTTTATTCAACGGATGTCGGACAGAGCATTATCATGATCGGATTGACATCGAATGAGCAACCTGATGGCGGCTGGTTATAAATGGGCATGAACAATGCATGAGGTTCTCTGTAATAACTAGCAGAGAATAGTGTTGGCTCCAAGTCTTATAACCTACAAAAAAGGGTAATTTTCGTAATATTGTAAATTCGAAAGTTGTAATGGATCGATGGATGTTTGTTAGAGTTTGTCATCTAAATGGATCTCGATGAAATTTGGTATAGATGTAGAGCATAGTCGGGAAGAACACAACGGCTACTTACTAACTTTCGTTTTTGTTAATTCCTTGAGTCGCGGGCGCAAGCTAGTGTAAGTATAAAAAGGAGATTTTTTGAAATATCTTGCCAGGAGAAATATGTATGTTGATGGGTGATGACTTTTATTCTAATTATTACTTGCAATGCTATTTTCATTGACGAATCTATTAAAATAATAGGATAACTAACACATAATGACGCGGAAACGCTTAGTGGAATTAGTTATTAAGATATATTTTCCCCGTAAATCGTGTAACAATTTTGTCTCATTTTATGACTAGAATTATTACTCGTGAATTTCATTAAAAATGTCTACGTTACATTTTTTGAATAACTGATATTTGTAAAAAAATCTTTATCAATAATTTCATTCATAAATTCGTCTTTCATGTACATTTCTAAAGGTATGATCGTGACAATTCTTCAAAGAATATAAGAAAAAATTCTTGAGATGCGTTGTTCATAAAAAACATCAAATGTATCTCAAAAGACAGCGAATAGAATGAAATCTCTAGATTTCATATTCTTTATTGCAAATAAAATATCAAGAGAATTGAAAACTCGAAAAATTTCTCAAACAATCTCAGTATGCTGTTTGTTAGAGTTTGTGACCTAAACAGCTGAACAGATCTCGATGAAATTTAGACGTAGAGGATAGTCTGGAAGAACACATAGAATTAACTTTGTATTAATTATCACATTTGTTTTTCTTAATTTCACGCGGAGTCGCGGACGAAAGCTAGTTTTCCTAATAAATTTTCTTTTAAAATGTTTAATCCAGTTCAAACACATAGTGGTTTATAGATTCCACTTAAATGTATTTCAAATTCAGTCAACGTCCGATAGTTTAAAACTTAAACAATTTCTAACTCGAACTATTTTCAAATCTAACTAATTTCTTTGTCATTCAGATGATAATTGTGAAAGTCTGATTACAAGATAAAACATTACTAAATGCACATCGAATTCATATAAAGGGAATACGAAAACTTGCGAAACAGTATTCGTAACGTAATCGACAAAATTTGTATGACTTTATTGTACAATGACAATACATACTAGGCCAGTTTATAAATGTTGAATCAATGTTGTTTAGAACACAAATATCGACGCGATCTAATTTAAGATACTTTCGAAGTTACCAACTAGATTTTTTCCACTTAAGAATTTACGCTTGTGTCTCAGCAAGTGAAACTCGGCGTGATATTGAATTCTTCTATACTTTTATCTAGTGCCACGGTCACGATTTCGTGACTCGTTACGTTTTAAAGAAAGAGAAAACAAGGTTGTGTACAGAATGTATTTAGCGGATCGTTAAATCTTACTAATATTATAAATGCGAAAGTATAACTTTTTGTTACAGTTTGCCGCCCAACCAAATCTATGTTAAACCAAAATTTCGCATAAATGTAGAGCAGTCTGGAAGAACACATGAATTACGTTCGTTTTGCTACACGAATGAAGTCGCATGCGAAATCTAGTCCCTACTAATCTTAACTAATATTATAAAAAGGAAAGATTTGTATTTTTGTATGTATCGATATAACTGAAAAACTAATGAGCTGATTACAAAAATTCATTCACCATTAAAAAACTATGATATCAGTGAGTAACATAGACTATATCTTATTTATTTTTTATTTTAGTCGGACAAAGGCGCGGGCAAATGCTTGTATTTTATAATTCGTTTAACATACAACTAGTTTTCATATAAGGATAAAGATTTTACAGCCTTGTACACATTGTACACATTTTGTTTGTACACAAATTTGTACACATTTTGCTTATACACAGTTTATTTCTAAGTTTAACTTTATACCGCGTTCATTTGTAAGGCTGTTACGGATTAACTAGAATCTATCTATACTCATATTACTACGAATCTATAATACGTATGTTTGGATATACGTTAGTTCCGTATCTTTTTGTCGTAAGTCAATAGTAATTATAAGGTCATGGGCCATGAAATACCGAGAATTCAATATGTACTCGTATTATAGATACAATATGACTCACTGTTTTATTCTTAAGATTACTTTGCTGCTAGGTCGCTGAAGTTTCTATTTATATTATATCTACTGATTCATTAGTATTAAGTTGAAGTGTCAACGCAGTAAAACTCAAGTCAAGTACAGCAACGCATTTCATGGAGTTATCGATCCAAAAATACTAAAGAATGGTTAAAAGTAACTGGTAAACCGGCTAACTTGCCAAAAAGATGAAAAAAACACCCATTTAAAAATAACTCGATTCTGTAAACTGATAAGAGACATAATATATCGTCACAGTAAGTTTCTGAGTTTTAGTGTCTAGATCTTTCTATATTGCGCCATACCAATAATGGATTTGCTTTGGATTGCCTTCAATTTTTGCACGGATGTTGTTTGACCCGACGTTTGTACTAACAAAGGCGACGTTTAATATTCTATAAGCAATGTCGCGAACTACGCGGCTTCAGTGCCAGCATTGTATCGGTTTTTATGGATACTATCTAAAGGGTTAAGCTTTAATACGTAAGAAATAGCTTACCGTAGGGCTCATTCTCATTGGTCGATAATTTATGTAGCTTGCGGGCTTCGTATTCGGGCTAATGACTAATCATCATCATCATCATCATCATCATCATCATCATCACCAGCTCACTATACGTCCCCACCGAGGGTCGAGCCTACCCTAAGTTAGCGTGACTAGGCCGTAGTCAACTACGCTGGCCCCGTGATGGTTGGTTGACTTCACACATATCTTTGAATTTCTTCGCCGATATGTGCATTGCATCTCGATGTTTTCCTTCACCGTAACGACTAATAAATGAGGTCAATTGATACAAAGCAAGTACATTTAAACAGGACTTTAAAAAGCGGTAAGTAAGGATAATCGCACAATGCTTGCGATTCCTAACAAGTAGTGTAAGTTCTTCTCTTATGGCATGCGGGAACAGAAAATCTCTTGCACCATGCGGGCGTAACGACTAATGAAGCCGCACCCTTATTTACGCACGAATACAGGGAAATTAAAAGATGACGTCACATTAGAATCTCAATCCGTTCAATTGTTTTTTTTTTCATTTAACAACACTTTCGGTATTATCATCTTACTTCTTAATCAATAATGTAGTTGTCCCTTTCGTTGTTGTAGAAAAAATAGAAATAGATATATGTTTTTGTACATATTTTATGACAGTGTAAAACTTACGTTATTGTGACTCAACGCGT